TTTGATATGGCATTTTTACATATTCATGTTTCTTAGTGGTCTGTTTGCTGATGTGCCTGGTGATTTTAAATGATCAACTCCTACTTAAATATTTGCCTGAACTTAACCTGTGGGAATCCTAATGGCCTAAATTAGGGTTGCTTTCCTCAAAAGAAGATTTGCTTTTAAATGTCTTCTGGGAGTCTGGGCAGCCAACACACTTAAAACCACTGTAACCCCTTTGAGGGGCACAGTCTGGTGGAGTGGCCAGAATCCATCATCCTAAGTTCAGGCTCTTGGCTCCCAGTGCTAGTCAGCATTTCGCCAAAGAAACAGTGGCAGTCTTGGTTGCCTGATGTTCACATGTCAGATCTTTTCTCTTTACTTTTTCATTTCTGTGTGTAAAGTTCTTTTGGTACATCTGTGCCTGTGGGCCTCATATTCCCATTATTTTCTGGTGAACCCAGCAATGACTTTAAAATATGTTGCTGTACTTTATCCAGGATATTTTAAAGGATGCCATCCATGTTCTTCTCTGCCATCCAGCTGGAAGTGGGAGCCTCTGGTCATCGCTCCTCGTCCATCTTTCTAGCTCTGGTTTAGGCAGAAGCTCTGCATTAGCTCCAGCTCCAGCACAGCTTTCAGTAACTCCTCCTCTTTCTCGCACTTTGCAATAGATCCCCTGGGAGGATTTATTAAAGGATAGCCTCTAGTTTTAAAACTATCAGTTTTAGAGGGAACCCCAGTGCCCAGGTGTCAGGTAGAGGCAAAATAGGCTAATTATATATAACAGAATAAATAGGGAGCTGGTCGAGAGGACAGCAAAATGGCCATGTCTAATCAGAAGCTATCCCTTCACATGTTAGTTGCAAGCATTGTTCATTCTTGACCTGAACCTTTTATGTTCAATATTTCCCATCTCCTTGACAAGAAAATGAATACTAGATTTTTAGTTGAAATTAATAGCACATGGTTTTGTTGAGGCCTAGTAAAATCAGGTGGCTTTCATTTATGCTAACCTATGATAATTGTGGGTATTGTTATCTATCAATTCAGCTAAAGCTGAAAAATCACAGACATTTTAGATATATCACATGTTCATTTTAATGAATTCTTTTTGAAGAGGTGGTTAGAAATTCAGCCCCCAGCACATTCAGGGTCACTGGTTTCTTCTTTTAAGCCTTTGAGCCCTGTGATTGTTAGGGGGCAAAATGGGGGCACGCCAGGACCCCAAACCTGTCTGCTCTAAATGGATTCTGCCATCCACCATATAAAGACAAAACATACTCTTAGTGTGTAAGACCCTCAATGGAAAAGAATTCTAATACAACTGCTGTGTAATAAAGAAGAGGAAAAGAAAGAGTGTAATTAAAATAGCTTGCCTATGAAGCTCCAAAGTTACCCAACCCCTCATGAGTAAATGCCCAGACAGACACTGTTGGCCCACAGTGGGGCCACTGAAGACTGAAAGCTGCCACAGCCTAAGGCACCTTCTGGTGGGGACCCATAGGAAAAAGGCAGAAGGCGCCAGGCAAGTCTGGAAGAAAAGAGCAAAATCAAAAGCCAAGCCAAGATAAGCCTCCCCAGGGACCTCTCACCCACGTCTCTGTCTCTTTCATGTGTCTCTTTACACGTCTCCCAAGTCCCCGGTCCAAGGCCAGAAAGCAGGTGCAGCTTCTGCTTCATGTGTCTCCTGCTACACGTGCCTTCTCTAACCCTCTTTTCTTTCCTTCCCTTCCTTTTTTCCACTCTTTTTTAGCTTCTCCTTGCTGCTCTGCTCCATCCTACCTTGCATGGGGCAGGGAACTTGGAACCTCCCTTTTCTAAGGGATCACACTGTTACGTGATGATAAGCCCTGCCGAGGGAGGAGCTGGACGCCAAGTCAGTGCAGCTTGACCAGTCAGGCACCACCTTCCATCAAAGTGCCCGTAATTGACAGAGTTTGTCACTTGCTGCTGATTGGTGTGTGATTTATGGATGATGAGCCCACAGGCTAAAGGCTCAGGGAGAACTCACTGTATCCCACAGGAAAGAGATACATTAAAACTTAAAACATAAGTTTTATTTGAACTCCCTGAAGTTGCTCCTGCTTATGTGTTTTCAGCCAGAAACATTGTCAACGGATGTGTTGATTTCCCGTCTTCATCACAGTCAGCTTCTTTCCATTCCTACTGGAACGGGGGGCAAGAACTAGGCAGCTCACCTTGGACAAATCCCTGGGCTCATTGAGTTCCTGTTGGTTTTTCTGTAAAATGGTTGAGCCCTGTCAGTGTCCGACAGGTGTGCATTCTGGAGCCGCTGTTGGCGAGGAATGCAGCTCCGGCCAGTGCCTGAGACCCTGCTGGGTACAGCGCTGGCTCAGGCCCTCTGGAGGTGGTTTTCTTTCCTGATGTGCATTCATTACTGTGGTTGCTTTAAGAAGAAAGTCAGGTTTGGTGCTGGTGCATCTTCAGCACCTCTCACGTGCTTAGTTATTTCAGAGATGTTCTCAGACCCCTCTTGCGATAGAATGCAGTGAAGATGTTCTGTCTTTGCTTTTGTTTCAGGGTATTTCTCCCACACCCCTACCCCGAACTTATTTTAAAAGGTTGTAAACCTAGGCCTCCCTGGTGGCGCAAGGGGTTAAGCACCTCACTATGAAGCGATCCGCAGCCTCTGCAGCACAGGTTCCATCCCGGCCGGCCAGGGAGCAACCCACATGGCACAGCAGACCTCTCCTGACTGGCCCACTGCTCCCCTCAGCAGTGTACTTGGGTTGGTCTGCCCGTTCTGTTCCCCGCTCTGTCTCTGGTGGGTCCTCTAAGCCCCCTCCAGCCCCCCGCATCTCTGGCCTGTACCCCAGCTCTAAGTGGATAGATCTTTAAAAATATATATAAATAAAAGATTGTAAACCTGAGGGAAAGAGAAAGGCACAATGAACACCTTTGCCCTGGACCCACTAAGAATTCATGTTTGGTGACACGGCCTTACTTCTCTCAGGCCTCCCTGCTCTGGAGCCCCCCTCCCTCCCCATATATGTTTAGAGAGGCATCCTCTTCTGCTCAGCGATGGTGGAGAAGGGAATCCTAAGTGCTACATAAAAATAAAAGTCAGAAATGAACTGATTTTCTAAGAGCCAACCCTAACCCAGTTTACTCACATGAGTGTATCTGGGTTGACTCTGAAGCTGTTTGGTGCTGGTTGAATAGATGTATTATTTTTGTATTTCCCCCTCGTTACCTGAATCTACAAAGATCAAGAGAACCATTACCCAAGGCTTTACATTTTCATTTGCTTTAATAACAGTAGCTTCCACACAATTAATTACATTTACCAAGTTTCATGTTTGATAACATCTCATAGAACGTTTTTCTGGCCACTTTTATGTACTTGAGACAGAGCCAAGGCACAGGTCTTCTGTAGAAGAGATGTCGTGGAGTCTATTCCCTGAGCTCAGGCCTGTGTTCACAGGCAAGCCGGTGAGAACTTGTCCCTGGGGGCTCTCGGCTCTTGCTGTGTGCCTCCTTCCCATAAGCTGCCTCCCCCAGGGGCAAAGAGCAAATGAGGCTGCTCCGGGAGGGCCTGTCACGACCACGCTGCCTGACGGCAAGAGAGGAGCCGGGTTCAGAACCCTCCCACTCCACACTTCCTCAGCCTGTCTGCAGTGTGGCCACTCCACGCCTGGCTCAGCACTAGCCCCTGGGGCACTGTCAGTGCCTGGGCAGGTCTGCGGAGCTCACGCTAATGGGAAGCAGAGACGTGTGGCCTGCAGCGTATAAGGCCAGTGGGCGGCGGCTCTAGGGACTGGACAGCGAGTGCTTACCGCTGGGCTTGTCTAGAAAGGAAAAGTGTGCTCGATGCCCCAGAGGTCTCAGAAATGCTTGGTCGTGCAAGGGAACAGCTCTCCGCCCTGCTGGAAACTTCCACTCATGGTCAAGGTCAGACGCTTGGTCTTTCTGGGACCTTTTCCTTGTCCCCTCCCACTGGCCCCTCCAGCTACCAGTAACCACTCCTGCCAACCTCATCTCTCTGATGCTGCCATTTCCAAATCCTACTGTGTGCCAGGTACTAAGAAATACAACTGCCACACGGACAGAAGCAGTGCACAGCCTGCCCAGGAATAAGCCTCCACCCCCCCGCCCCCCTTAGGCCAGATGCCCATTCAGACTCCTGTGCCCCCGCAGTCCAGCCACTCCTGCAGGGGCCTGGCCAGCCTTCCCACTTTGCAAATAAGGAGCCAAGGGGAGGCCAGCCCTTGCTCAGACTGGAGGGCCTGGCCCAGCAGCCGGAGGTGTGTTGGGTGCTGTCGGGCCGCGGAAGGAAGAGCAGGAGAGGTGGTGAGCGGGTGCTGGAAAGCCCGCCCCGCAAGCTGACCGTGTGGCAAGGCTCGAGCTGGAGGGTCAGACCTTGGTTCAGCTGCTTGTCTGCTCTGTGGCCTGAGTCGAGTCAAGTCAACCGGCGTCTCCAGACCTCGCTGCCGGCGCGGCCCACTGAGAAGCCGGCTGGGAGCCAGGGACTCTGCCCTGAGCACGAGCAGCTCCTCTTTGGGGCTGTGAGCATCTTTGTGAAAATGTGCATGTCTGATTCCCCCGGCGGGTGCCCCGGGCCCTTTGTGTTAGGTGCTCAGTGAGCATCTGTTGAATGAGGGAAGCACCGCGTGTGACCAGTTGTCACCCCACAGCAGGGATCTCTCGCTGAGCACCAGATCCAGTCTTCTGGCAAGAGGCTCCTCATGCGGCGGCTTCGGAAGAGAGGGGGTGTCCCCTCCGAGGTCGCAGCGCCTTGCCTGGCGGCGTCTGCCCCGCGGCGTGGCGGGGCCCGTGGGCAGAGGCTGCTGTCAGGCTCCCGGCACAGTGACAATCCCGGGGGTGAGGGTGAGCGGGGGGCGGGCGTCAGGGTTCAGAACCCCCCGTTTGAAAGGCAGAACCACCTGCCGCCAGGACGTTTGCAATGGCAGGCTGGCCGGGGTGGGCCGCGGGGCGTGCGCGTGTACCCGGAGGGGCTAACCCGTGTCCCCTCTCCCCGTGCCCTTGTCCTGCAGGAACGGCCTCGCCGGCTGCCGGGTGCGGACTGAGAGCGAGCCCTCGTGCGGCTCCCCCGTGGTCAGCGGGGACCCCAAGGAGGACCACAACTACAGCAGTGCCAAGGCCGCCGCCGCGCGCAGCGCCTCGCCCGCCAGCGACTCGGTCTCCTCCTCGTCGGCCGACGACCACTACGAGTTCGCCGCCAAGGGGAGCCAGGAGGGCAGCGAGGGCAGCTTCCAGAGCCACGAGAGCCACAGCGAGCCCGAGGACGACGACAGGAAGCTCGGCCCGAGGGAGGCCAAGGACGCGCCGGGGGACGGCGGCCACGCGGCGCAGCACAAGAAGCGCCAACACCTCGCCAAGACCAGGAAGGTCCCCAGCGACTCGCTGCCCCTCAAAAAGAGACGCACGGAGAAGCCCCCCGAAAGCGACGACGAGGAGATGAAGGAGGCCGCAGGGTCCCTCCTGCACTTAGCGGGGATTCGGTCCTGTCTGAACAACATCACCAATCGGACGGCAAAGGGGCAGAAAGAGCAAAAGGAAACCACAAAAAATTAAAAACAAGTCACTGATTTGTTTTGAACTTACGGCCATTTGGTTTCAGCATGTCAGGAGATTTCTAATGATTTGTGGCAATATCAGCAATTTATTTTTTTTCTTTTTGGTTTGGTTTTCTTTCTTTTTCTTTCCTTTTTTTTTTTTTTTTTTTTTTTTTTTACTTTGCCCCCCTCCTTTGTTTGGGACCCTTAAGAATTTTATTTTTAAAGGAGATTGAAGCCATAGAACTCATATTGACACTCAGCTGTTTTACAAAAGCTTTTCATTATCTGAAGACAAAACCGAAAAAGCCAAAATTACCATTGCTTCCTCCAGCTTGTCAGGAACATGTGGCTGATCCCGCAGGGATGTCAGCGAGAAGGCCATGGGAATGAACACACATTCGACACCTAGAAGGCATTTGTGCAAAGTAGTCATCTCAGGCCCCACCATTAGGTCTCAAAGGTTAGGGTGTCCTCCGGGGTGGGTTCACTGAGTGAGTGTGCAGAAGGCAATCAGGGAGAAGGGAGAGCCCTTTCCTCTCATAGCAGATCCAGACCCGTGGCCTGGGGCATCAGGTCTTGCCTGGAAGGCCCTTGGCATGGCCACCCGTGTGCACAGCGGTCAGTCTCCGGTCCTCTGTGCTTCTTAACCAGGAAGCCCAGAAACATCGTAGAAGGTGGGCACTGGGCCATTCATATCACCAGGTGTCAGTGACACATGAGAAGAAGAAACAAGGTCAGTTTTTAGTGATATTGCTAACATTGAATTCTGTTCTATATTAAATTAAGAGAATGTTTTGCAAGCCATAAGCCTGAAGTTTGGCCCTGTACACACACACACACACACACACACACGCACACACACACACGCACACACAGAGGAGGGACAGAGAGTGAGAGAAAACAAGCTATGTCTTCTTAATCGCCCAAGTGAAAATCAAGTCCAAGAAAGTATAGTAGCTGTTAAGGAAGGAAATAATGGTACAAATCTTTTTCTGTCTGTCAAAACTATTTGATTCAAGTGGAAAAAAAAAAAGCTATGGAACCTGCCATTAGTATTGTGGTGTATCTTTTAAAAGATTAAAGGCACATTGATGGACACAAAAAAGTAAAACATGGCAAAGAAGAAAAAAATACACCAAACTCCTATACTGCCCTCAAAATGGAGTTTGCAATTGATGTCAGTCAGGATTCATCCTTATGAAAATCGGTGATTTCCACACTCAGCCAGTGTAGCCAGCAGAAATTTCTGATCCACAATGCATGGATTCCTTTGAAAAAAGAGAAAAAAAAGAAAAAAAAAAATCACAAAAACACAAACTTTTTTTTTATTCAAAAATAACAAAGTTCTTGTAAGGTAAATAATGTATTTAGCATGAAGCATGAATTATTTTCATATAAATATAGAAAATAGAGAAAAGGCTATGCCTCTAATTTTGAAGCCCTTAGGCTTAGAGGTTCTTTTGGTTTTCTTCTTTTTCTTTATTTTTTTCTTTCTTTCTTTTTTTTTTTTTCTTCCCAATTATTTTGTTTTGGTTTTTTGAAGCAGGTGTTTAAGGTTTAACCTTCTTCAGGGACAAATTCTGACTGTTGGGGAACTTACTTTGCAATATAAAAATCTCTTCATGTTCTGGTAGGGCCTGGATGGTGGAGCTCTGTACTGCCTTGTCTGCGCTTCAGCCCCGACCCCTCTGATTCTCTGTTGAAAAGTGTGTCCTTTCTCTTTGTCTGTACATGTTTACCATGACGCAATAATTTGAGGGCAAACTCAGTAGTGAGTGTGTATGATAGAATCAGGAGAATTATGGGACGCTGACTTGAGGAAACCCTGACCGCGATTTTGTTCTAGGAAGAAGGCAGTGAATAATTATGCAAATTTGTCAGGAGAAGGGGAAACACGCTAATGGGCCTTATTGGATGAGGGTGTGAGTTCGGGTACTCGTGAAGGCGGAAGTGACACAGGTGACCAGCCCCAGGTGTGTTCCTGTGACGCCATTTCACAGTGGGAAGGAGGGGCCGGCCGTCTACCACCTCAGCACACGAACCAACCTGGATTTAAGGCCACCTAGGTTGTGAGAGCTGAATTTAGACAACCGGACGATGTCACACAGACCAGAAACTCCTATTACCTTTGCCAGAAAGAAAGAATATGGGGGTGGGGGGGAGCCAAAGAGAGAGCTCTAAAAGAATGTGATCTTCCACCCAAATGGAGGGAAATAACAAAAACGCCCACCATGTATCTGGGAGGGACTCCAAGGGGAAGGGAGGCACTTGGGGGCCAGTGTCCAGCCCTGTGGGAAGCTCCGTCCACCAGGACAGCTGGAGCCGACTGGCACAGCCCGTGCTCATTTTCCCACAGGTTGCTCGTGAGAGCACCTGAAAAAATACCTTCACCTGCACAACAGGTAGACTTCATGACCTGAGCCCAAGTACTTCCAGACATACTTGTTCAGGGTGAAGATGAGAACTAAGTTGTGTTTTCAAAATACTCTGTCCCTTCCATCTCTCCAGACACCTGACGCCCCAAGAGCCGTCCAAGCTTCCGAACCTGAGCAACACTGCGACTTGGGTTGTCACCTGACCAAGCGCAAAAGACCCCTCTCCCACCCCGAGGTCAAATTTTGATGTCCCTACCCCCCCCCACGCCCCCCATGATTGAATTCAGACTTTTCCTCCCGAAAGGCAGAGGTGGACATCCAGGATTGTTTCTGGCAGGAGACTTCTTCCACTGAAAAGCCCCACCGCGGGCTGCTCCCCTCATTTCATTTTCTAAAGGAGCCAAGGCCTCTTTTAGAAAATAATAAAATGCAATGTGTGTGATTTACTTTTCTGATCTCTTTGAGAAATAGATAAATATAAAAGTGTGTTCTTAACTCCAGAACCACTCTTTTTGCATAAATACCTCATCGGGCAGCTTTCTAAATGTTATTTTCCTGAGTCTCCCTCAGCGCCTTCGTGGAAGCTGCTGAGGCTTACAGGGGAAACTTTAGTGAGGGTACTTTTTTCTATTTTTCTTCTGTTTTTGGAGGCATACACATTATGCATAACCAAAACAATGGCTCAATTGTGTTTAACTTTGTATTTTGATTGTTGAGAAAAAAAAATGTATTAATGTGTCTGTGGCTGTTTGTAGTGAATGAATTCATTGCGGAATGAGGCTGTCCGTCCGTGTCCTCGCCAAGCCAGGGGCAGGAGCTTCCCTCTCTCACCCCCTCCTCCAAGAGCAGTAGAGAACTTAAGCACAAGCCTATTTGTGAAAGAATATTTTGCTCAAGTGTAATTCACTTTAGTCTTGGAATTCCTTCCCACACTTTTCAGGTGTTCTTTTAGCTTCCAAACTAGCCTTGTCTTCATGAGTCTGACAGTTGCGCCTGAGCGCCAAGCCAGGGCTGTGGTGTTTGGCTTTCATTTCTCCGGCCGGGGGAAGTGGCCTTCTGTGTGTCATTCCAGTATCTCTCATACTCACATGGGGCGGGGGGGAGGGGAACGGGGAACTATAGCAATATTTCAAGATGCTTTGGAGACAACCGTGAACACATCAGCGCCGTGACATCCACCGTGACTTGCTGTTGGCCCTCGGACACATTTAAGAGAAAGAGTCGCAGCTCTTTTTTCTTAAACTAGAGACACCTAGACAGTTCTTCGTATGCTACTACAAGTACCTGTCCTCTTTACCTAGTACTACGCGCAAAGGATTTGCAGCGTCGATTCTTCCCAGCCTTATACTATACCATAAGCTCCTACTTCCTTCCCCTCCAGTCGGCACACTTTCCCAGAGTTCTTTGGTGAGGCTGTCTAGCAGAAAAGAAAATAACCGCACCCGCGTTTGGAGGGTGTTGGAGGAAACAGAGGCCCAGACAGCTGCGGCAGGTTCAGGCTGGGGGCTGAGTGTTTTGGAAGGGCTGTCTCGGCGCCTTTCCCAAGCACTGCTTTTCTTGAAGAGGTGGTCAGTGTGTCTGGCCCTTGCTGGGCAGGGCAGTTACCACCCCAAGGGCATTCTGGGGGAGACCACTGCGCCCTCTTCCGGCCTGGGGGCACTGCAGGCTGCGGGGCCTGTGACCAGGAGCCCGTCCGCATGGCTCCTGGGCCTCTCTCTGAAGGACTCTCAAAGGAAATCAGTCATGTCCAAGTGACCTACAGGGGAGGAATGTCCCTCCGGGGTTGAATTCAATTCAATGTGACTTCTCTTTCCCTTTAAACTTGATTCAGGTTGGGATGCGTTTCTTTCTGGTGGATCACAGCTGCCCAGATGTTGCCATTTATTTTTGTTTCTGTAGAGAAGTATTTTTCTTTCCTCTTCAGGATTCTTGCCACCAAAAGAACACATTTGAAGCCTGTGTCCCCTGATTGTGACTTTCCAGTGTTGACAGTTAATCCTTAGTGTCGTAGGCCCCAGCCCGCCAATACTATATCAAACACTGTTATGCACATAATGCAGCACTGTGATCTAATTTAAATAATACTTTTTTATTATTTATACTACTATATATAATATACATCAACACTTTTGCTATATAACCTAAGTGATAACCCTCTTTTAGTTACCTGCCAGACTCTGGACTTTGGTTTATATTGCAGTTAACACAGTTACAAAGTTGTAATGGTGTCTTTTTTTTTTCTTTGTAACGGAATGTGTAAATCAAAGTATATACAAATGTGTGGTGTTCCTGTTTCTGGAGTTCCATGAGGATTTACACATGGCATTCAGTGTTCTGTATAGACCCGCCTACCTTTGTGGATTCATCTGTTAACCCCTCCTCCTGTGAGAGAGCTCCGGCCACGCTGGTTGACTCCTTGTCTTCTCTCTCTCCTACTGATTATTCTTGAACTAAGCACAGACTGGTCAGCTCGGTTGCTTTATCATGAATAAATACGTGTGACCTTGCAATTCTTCCACAGTTCGGCAAACAAGTGCTAGCTTCACTGACCAAAAATTAAGGAAGGAAAATAACGATTTTTAAAATGATCCATCTTTTAACAGCCGAAACCAATGTGTCTATGGTGCTGCCTTGTTCTGTGTGCCCTACTCGAAATCCAGACCTAGGTGAAAGATCACTTCTGACTTACTGTGATGTGCTCACAAGTACCCTTCCTGTTCGTTTTGTTAGTGTTGAAATCAAGACTATTTATTTGGAAACTATATTGCAGTGTTTTCCACTGTATTTCATTTGCAAAAGTCGAGAACCCCCTTCTCCGGCTTTTGCAAATAATTGATATTCCATATTGGATTCTCACAGACTTCGATATGGTGAAGCTATCAAACCTAGAAATTGTATTTCATCCTTTCAAGACTGTGGCCTGAGTTCCCCATCCCCTCTTTTTTTTTTTTTTTTTTTTAGGTGAAACGTAGCACAATTTCAGTTATTTAAACATCCAGCATCTCTTAGTGTGTACGTCAAGGCCGTCAGCTCATGGCTGATTCAGTCACCAGTTTTGTGCCACATCATTCACACTCACTACTTACAAGGCCATGGTGGAAATGTGGAGGAGAAAAGTATCTCTGTGTGTCTGGGAAGCATTATACACTTGTACATTTTTTTATACTCCGATTCTGTAACATTTCTGAGTTTTTGTTTTCGTTTTACAGAAAAAAAAAAAAATTAACAGTGATCAAGCAATCAGAAGACCAAGGGGTTTTCTATCAATGCTTAGGGTTGTCTGACCTTTGCTGGCCAATAGACCTATATGGCCAAATCCATTTACTAGAGTAATAATTTTTCAAAAGCCAATTTTTTTCTGTATTTTCTGTATGAAACTGCCAATATCATGAATAGAAAGGGAGAACCAGAAAGGAGAAGGAAAGTGATGTTCAGTTGGGTTTGTGTTACCTAGAGGAGCAGTGTGGAGGCAGGCGTGATCAGCCGAACTTTAGGGACCCGGTGGTGGTACTTTGCAGGCACCCATACTTGCATTTCGCATTCTTCATATGTAATCATATTGCCAAAGACAAACTATTTCATCATTTATTGTAAATAACACTTTTCCCCAGACCTACCATAAAGTTTCTGTGATGTATTGTCTTCC